TGATTCCTGATCTTGCTAGTGTATATTAAAGCAGCAGACTAAAGCCTTCTGTGATCTTTGGGACCTCTCTCTGAGAGAGCGCCTGTGGGTCTTGTGTGGTCAAGAGACACCTAATGAATGTGGCCTTCAAACAGGGTTTCAGTGTGACATCCCTGCCGGTCCCCATGCTGGCACGGAGGACACCATCCATGGGCATTTGAAGAAGTCTCCAACTCTGAGCAGCAGCAAAATTGCTGCCTGAACGCTTTCCATGCAAATGCTTGTTATAGTTATTATTCACTGTGACTTATTTTACTGTAAAGGCCCTTAGTGCCTCAGCGCAGGGCAGATGTGTTCTCAGAGACAGAAAGGGGAAGCGGGATGAGGTGGACTGAGGGCAGCGTCATTCCTCTTAATCTGGGAACTGTGACAGATGAAGCTGTAAGGTCACTTTTCTGGGTAGCCTGTAGCAAAATCAGGAAATGAAGCTGGATTTGCTGAGACCCAGGGCCTTGTAACCTCCCCTGTCTTGCCTCATAGGAATGTTCCTAGTTAGCCAAATGGAAGGACCAAGCAGTAAACTAGATTTACAACTTTTTATTTTTCAAACAATGCTTTGAAATACTTCATTGAGCAGCAAGATTAATTGTATTCGCTCATCTCCCACGTACAATACAGAGAGATTTTCTCCAGAATCATATTCCTCTCAAAAGGGTATTTTGTACTGTGCTCAGCTCAGCGCCTGTCTAGGAAACATGTGCAGCCATTTGATAAATATATTTGTGGAAAACATCATTGCAGTGGCAGTCTGCCTGCAGCAGAGGAATAGCTACAGGGAAAAATGGTAAATAAGATATGTGTAAGTAAATTAATTTTGCTCATATAAGCTTGTTTGCAGCTTTAGTTCATGTCTGCAGTGTAATCCTCTGATCTACAGCAGGTGTTTAGTGTTGTGGGGGATCAGGCTGGTGACCGAGTGAAGAGCATTGGGCCCAAAGCTGCACAGGAGCTTGTAGAAGGTAGTGGTGGTGTCTCTGTTTTGCTGGGATTTCCCATCACAACAAGGTGCAGTTGTGTTACAGCCTGACAAATGGTAAATCCACCATTGATTTTGCCTCGCAGAAATAAATAATTGCCTTTTGTACTGAGTTTTATGCACAGTAAGACTGGTCTGTGCGTAACTGATTTACTTATTCAGAAACCATTGCTTTCCAATATACTTTTGGAGGATTTATCAGTGAAAAGGAAACCTTCAAAACAGCAGAACCTGAAACAAAGCCCAGCTCTACAGATGAACAATTATTTTCTTTAAGTCTTCCTGGATTTTTTTAGCATACTTTTAGCAGCAGTGTATTATTTGTTGTGATGCTGTATGGGTCTATTCGTTTTGATTGGATGAACTGATTTATGGGGTTTATCTTATCTATTTAAGTTGTCAATTAGCTGAAGATTTATTTTGCAGCCTGAGCTGCGGGTTAGAGCTGTGCTCTGCTGTTGCTGTGCTGCTGCTTTTGAGGGGGTGGCATCCCAGGGTGCCTGGTCTGGGCAGTGAAGAGCTGCATGGGCGGCTAACACGAGCATTGCTGTTTACCAGGACCTGACTGCTGTTCCTAGAGCGTCTGGCTTTTTTTCCCGTTGGCTGAGCAGTGAGGAGGTGTGTGAGACACCCAAGTGTTCAATCCAGGTTGGTGATTTGTGGGCTTTCATGGCCAGCCGTGCAGCAACACAGGCAGATGTTTCCCTCCCCTCGCTCCTGCACGTGGGGAAAACCTCGTGGCAGGAGGAAGGAAGAAGGTGGGGGAGCTGCAGACTTCAGTCGCAGGTTTTCCTCTTGATGCTTGCTGGGAGTGAGGTGAGCTGTGACTGTCCAGAAGCTAAAGCTGCTGCAAGGAAAGGACTTGGGTTGGTTCTCTGTAGGCAGAAGAGCAAAGCCAGGCTTTTAACGCAGGGTGGAATCAGAGGTTTCCTCCTACCCCCTTGTACAAGCTGGATTAAATGGTGAAAGCATTTTTACTCCCTCCCTTCATTTAAAATAGTTTCCCTGATTGAAGGGGACATGCGGGCTGGAGTGCTGGACTGCAAGGAGACCTGCAGCCCAGACCCGGTGGTGCAGAGGGCGGCTGCTAATGACGGAGATGTGGACTGGTGCTTTCCTGGCCATGCAAAGCAGCCCTGGGAAGCTGCTGCCTCGCAGGCAGGGCTGGAGGCTGGTCTGTGCTTCCCAGGGGCCGAGGCGCTGACCTTTATCCAAAGCCAAGTGTGCAGGCATCCCACGAGGAGTCCTTGCGAGTGTCCTGTTGGGAAATGTGCTGCTCCGCAGGCTCTGGAATACAAGTAAAGCCTCTTCAGAGATAGCAGGGTGGCCACATGCTTGTGGTTGCCATGACCCGATGCTCCTAGGTCAGCCCAGAAGCTTTCCAAGTGCAAACCTTGCAGGAGCATTTTGCAGACAGCAAGCCCTCTGGGGACTTCCCGTGAATCCATTTCAAAGGACAGGATCACTGCTGAGCCGGCGTAGGGCTGCTGCAGCTGGCTTTCTAGCTTGAATCCTGTTTTGGGGGTTTGGGGAGAGCAGGGAGATCTAGCAGAGCAGGGAGGCTTGTGCTGCTTTGCCTGTGGGTTTGTGGGACCATGCGCAGTATGTGCTGGACTGAACCCTGCACCCCTTCCCTTGCTGCTGCAAGCCACCCCCCCGGTGCCTGCATCCTGGCTCTGAAAGGGATTTGTGCTTTGGGATTGAAGGGTTTAAATATCATTTTAATAGAAGCTTTTAAAGCTGATCTCACCATTTCATTACTGTTTTGAGTGAGTGATGCTTCTGTAAATTTGTTTCAAACAAGCCTACAGAAAAGGCAGGAGAAGGGGGGAAGATTAAACCCGGGTGGAGAAGGAGGGGAAGGAGATGAACAGCGGGCTGTGGGGAGGATTTGGATGTTTCCTTTCTGTGACACCTAGTGCCCAGTGTGTGTCCCCTGTGATTGGCATGTGACCTAGGGTGAAGCCTCCCATGCAGATCTTTCTCTAGTTTCCTTACTGATATAGAAGATTGCTTGAGCTTGGCTGCTGTGCTTCTGCGGGGTACTTGAGAGGTCGGCTCTCTTTGCAGCAGAGTTCAGCTGTAGTGTGTTTAACTGAGTGTTGTTGGGCAGCTTCAAGCCAGGCTTGACCTTTGCTCCATGCTCCTCAACGAGGGTGTTGTGTGTGTTCCCAGGCTGATGCTGGATGGGGCTTTTTGAACTTGCTCACCCCCACCCTTCCTCATGTAAATTAAATGTGGCCAGCATGAAAACAGGGTGATGAAAGTGTCACCTGGCTTGCAGGGATTTTCATACACAAGCTGCTTTGCATGTAGAGAACCAAAGGTTGCAATATTTCAGAGTTAAACCTACACTGAAATTCACTGGATGCAGTCTGGGATGCTGTGACTAAAACTAAGTTCTTCCCCACTGTCCCCAGAAACTGGGCAGAGGGATGAGATGAGGCATCCTGCAGCGCTGCATCTTCAGAGGTGATTAAGGGATGACAGCCATGTGCTGCAGAGGATCATTTCCTGCTCTGGACCGCGCTGGGAAGACCAAGATCTGTTTTAAATTGAGACTGAAATTAGCATCCAGGAAACAGACCTTATTCAGTAGTTTTAGCTTTGTATTGCATTTTTGTGTTCTGTAGGTCTTTTCCAAAGGAAAAGCTGATTCCCACATGCTGGTAATCATTAAGCGTTGTTGATTTGCAACTCAATATAGCTTTTGTACATGGTAGGCAGCAAGGTTAATGCGTGTTTGCACACAGGCTGCAACTGTGGGGGGCCGGGGCAACCCTGGAACCAGACTTGCTTTTAAATTCTGCCTTTGCTGTTGACTACATTGCAAATAACTGAGAGTGTGGAAGTCACCAGCCATGGCTTGGCTTCCAGGCCATTCTGTGACACTCGCTAGGACTCTACAGGGCAACAGAGAGACTACTGTGGAGCCCTAAATGGCTGTCGTGGTTTAACCTCAGTTGGCAACTGAGCACCACACATCCGCTTGCTCACTCCTTCCCCCCTGCCCTGCGGTGGGATGGGGGAGAGAATTGGAAGAGTAGAAGCGAGAAAAACTTGTGGGTTGAGATAAAAACAGTTTAATAATTGAAATAAAATAATAACAATAATAATAATGTAATAATAATAATACACAAAGCAAGTGATGCACGATGCAATTGCTCACCACCTGCTGACCGATGCCCAGCCAGCTTTCCCCAGTTTCTGTACTGACCATGATGTCCCATGGTATGGAATGTCCCTCTGGCCAGTTTGGCTGTGCCCCCTCCCAGCTTCTTGTGCACCTCCAGCCTTCTCAGTCGGTAGAGCATGGGAAGCTGAAAAGTCCGTGACTAGTGTAAGCACTGCTCAGCAACAACTAAAACATGGGTGGGTTATCAACATTATTCTCATGTTAAATCCAACACACAGCACTGTACCAGCTACTAGGAAGGAAATTAACTCTATCCCTGCCAAAACCAGGACAATGGCTGTGGATTTGTTGTTATGCACATTGGGTTTGGATACATACCAGAAGCTCTTGTACCCTATAAATAAGAATTCAAGAGGTCGAAAGTTTGACACTTTATCCTCAGCTTGTTAAGAACCTGTACTTCCCCCTTTATTGTAAGCTCTGGTTGACTGTTGGTCTAGCTACAGAAGGAGAAGTTCTCTTTAGCTGTGTCACTTGTTGCACATCAGATAAAATCTCATCTTTATCACTTTCATATCTAGCTTGATGCTTGGGTTTGCCTTTCCTCCTGAGTGTTTGCAACTTGTTTACAGGCTGCCAGTGTTTTGCCTTCACTTTCTTATATGTTGGAAGAAGCCAGAGATGGGTGTCTTTGTTATGTTTGTGTTGAGTGAACATTATTATTCAGTTTACCTCTGTTTCGGTTTAGGTATTTCATGGAGAGATTGCTTCATGCCACATGCTGTCTGTGAGTGCTAGCATCGCATCTCTCTGCAGTGCCATCTGAGACCATACAAGCTGGACGCAGCAATGGGGGACTGTCCAACAAATGCCGTGGATGGAGGCATAGACATGTACTGCAAAGACACGCAGACTGAACTGGCAGAGCGGGTAGCAGCCATAGATGTGGCTGCTGGCCCAGACAGAAGTGACCAAAATGGTGAAGACAACACTGAAGAAGAAAACCCAGTCTTTTCTGATAACATAAAAGACATCCAAAGAAATGGAGTCAACAGTGATGTGGGGATGAATGAATTTCTGCCTTCCCAAAAGACAGAAGATGCTCACTGGAGGCATGTTCCCAAGAGACCTCTCATTAGACCCGTCCTATCAAGTAGAAAGTTGTCTCTTCAGGAAAGATCATCAGGAGGTTATCTGGCTTCCAGCAACACTCCAGGTTATGGTCCTTATGCCACAGGTCCATCGCCACGTATAATGAGGAGACCAACGATAGAGTCCAATCGGGTCTCCATATCAGATTCTGAGGTAGGCATGTTCTCCCCTATAATTGTGGTGTCGAGGCAAGGTAAGTCTGTCTTAAGCAGTAATGGGAGTCTTCAGTCTTTTGGAGCAGTAGATCTGAAAGCACTGTTTTTTCTAAGGGGGAAAAAAAAAATCCTTGAAGCCAGGGATTGCATTAGCTTGGAATGGCTGAACATCTCCCAGACCTCCGCTGGGTGTAGCCCTGGTCCTGACATCTGGCTCCTTCAGCCCTCGCTTGCCTGGCGTAGTCCCGTTAAGGGGCTGGGACCCCTGTTGTGTAGCAGTAGCACACAGGAGGCCTGTCAGGCTGTTCAGAGAAAGGGCTGCAGCCAAATGGCTTTGCTCTCGTGTCCCTGCTGTATGTGCCCTTCGGGAGTTTATCAGTCACAGCAGCTTTGCTGATGGTATTTTATGGATTTAAGCTTCTGGAGATTATGTATCTCCTATTGTGTTTTGTCATTATTGAAGGCATGATTAAATTTTATAAAGAGCTTAAATGCACTGGTGTTTCCTACTCCTGTCAGGATTTTCCTTTCTCTTTAAAGCGTTTGTAACAGCAGTAGTAACTGAGAGCTGTGACCCTCCTCTCCTTCAGAGGAGTGTCTCTGGGTGGCTGCAGTTGTTCCTGCCGTCCATCTTGCGGCTGCTCTCCCGCTACCAGACCTGGGCTCAGACCTGTCCTGGAGGTGTAACACGCTGTTAGTGGTCAAGTGTTTTGATGGAAGTGGCTGCTGGTTGCAATTCCCTGTGCTGTGATGTGCTGTCATGGGGAGGATGGGGAGCCAAGAGAGGGCCTGTTCGGACCACGCTGCCCAGTGTCATTCCAAAGATGTTGAGCCTGCAGCAATGTCCGTGAAGGGGTGTGCAGCAGGGCTTTCTTTGAAAGCCAGGCACGATGGAGGTGGTGTAAATGGGTGTTTCTTGAAGCCAAAATGTTTTGTAAAATGCTACTGGCTGGGGAAGAATTTTAAGTGGGGAATGGGCTGTCTGGAGTACTGGAGAAGGGATGTCATTTCAGCAGGGCTGGCAGCTGGTTTGGGAAAAAACAAAGACTCATTCCTGAATTATCCCCCAAGCCCAGGCTGTGCCTTTTCCTGAGATTTTTATCTGCTGTTTGTGGAGAAAAAACAATTTTCCATGTCCTGCCACTTTTCTCTGGACTGAATTTGTTTCCTAGTCATGTTTGTCTTGTGTTTCTGCTCTTAGGGAATGGGGGAGGGCAGAGGGGAGGGGTGGGAGGTGCCTGTGGGTGCCACACTCCATGGTCTTGCTCGGAGGTGCAGTAACAGAGAGGAAGCGGCATGGGAGAAAGGAGCAGTGGTGGGGTGGACCTGCTGGCCTTACCCTACAGGGAGGGCTGCATCTCCTGCTCTGGTGCCGTGGGAGGTGAGCCCAGGAGAAGCCTCTGGTTCGTCTTGTGACCATAAGCCTTGTTCTGGTGAGGGATAGGCCCTTTCCATGGGCATTTTCAATCTCTCTTTCCTCTAGGGCTGGCAGTACAGTGATGGTCACCCAGTGAATTCACCTCTGCTGCTATGCCCTGGCACTGAAGTGGGACAGAGACAGCAGCCGGGGGTGCAGGAGCAATGCCCATCCAACTCTTTCTCACTCAGTCGATGGGGAGCATGTTGCTGAATGTTGCTCTGCCAGTGCCACTGTGCCAAAGTGTTGCTCTTCGGCACCATGGTGCTCCCAGCTGTGATGCCTAAATCCCACCGTGGTCCCACCCTGTGTCATAAGGGACCCGAATCACTGGAGTTTAGACTTTTGCCAGTGTGGGTCCAAGTGACCTGGAGCTTAACATCTGTGTGGCTTAGTGTTTCCCTCCTGAAAAGTGGGTGTTTTCCCTTTGCATATCTGAGAGGACAGCTGCTGTGCACAAGGAAATCAGCCATTGTCCTCTGGGAAGTTTTGCAAGTCACGTTAGCTGTATGATGGGTCATGGCATGCCCGACTGATAAGAGGATATCTGCAGAAGGTGCACTGCAGAGATTGCAGCTTCTTTGACGGCAGCTGTATGCTTTAATGAGGGAGATGGGGAGGGAGAGGAGCTGGTTCTTGGAAGCGGACGTGATTTGTGTGCCAGCTCTCCCATCCTGCAGTACTTTGACTGTGCCAGGAGCGGGGCTTGTCCGAAATCTATTTCAAAGTAACTGCAGTCGAGTGTGACTAGCACATTCCCATCTGCATGCAAATTCAAAATACTCTGTCTTCCACAGCATCTGCATCGGGGAGCAATAGCTGCTGCCTTGGGGTGGGAAATGCTTAGTTTGAGATGCAGATGCGGAGCCCTTCAATTCGCTGCTCCCGCAGCAGTCTGTTACGCAGTGCTGTGTTTTTAATGGTCACTTTGATATAACTATTTAGACCCCTGCTCTGGTGCAGCACAGATGCTTAACAAAGCTGTGCTCGTTGGAAAGCATCGTTCATATTAATGGAGAATTGCTGCAGTAGGAAGGGGGAGGGAGCCCAGGCGAGAGCTGTACACGTTCGGAGGTGGGTGCTCACCCTCACAGCAGTGCTCTCAGGAGCCGTGCTTCATCTTCCCAGCTTATAGGGACAGTATCTGTATCCTGTAAGGAATAGCAAAAGACCTAGGAAGATGCATGCTTGTTTATAGGTTAAAGTTTGAGGCTGGCAACTGAATAATGAGAAATAAGTGTTAGGTATGTGACAGCAAGGCAAGTGTGCAGCCTGCATGCAGCCCAACTCCAGCATCCTGCGTATGACCTGCCAGTTGCTGCTAAGCAGTTGTTGCAGAGTGGTTGTGTTCATGGCTGTGAGAGACAGTGGCAGTCCAAATACAAGCTATACAGCTAAACCGAGATACAGCAGGGAACTCGGAAGAGAAATGGAGAACAAATCTTTTGTTGCATGCATTTGCTTAGTACGTTTGCTGTAAGCAATTAGCAGAGCCTTGCATGTGGGCAGGGAAGACTGAGCAGAGCCAGGAGGTAGGGGCAGGGCTTACAAGAGTTACAGGGGACTCTGAGGCTTTTGGTTCCTATGCAAGATAAAATAACCCAGTGATGAGAAATACACTCGTGGTGTACTTAGCAGCAGCTGCTGTTGTGTTTTCTGTTGATGATTTTGATATGCAGACCCTCAGTGAGCAGGGAGGCTGGTAGGTCACTCTGACAAGATCCAGCTCACTGATCATGGCATTGCCCCTGGTCTCCCTGCAAATGACTCTGACACATCTTGTTCTAGGCAAGCTGCACATTCGTACTCGAGTCCATGTCTCTCACCTGTTCAAAGCCATTTCGGAGTTGCTCTTTTCTCCTTGCATTGAGTATCTGGCATTAGTCAGTGCCTTTCAGGTGGCAGGACATCCATCACTCCAGCTCGCAGCCGCTGCCCGAGTGAGTTACAGTCTGTGCAAAAATGAAGATGAAGTTCATGAGCGTTTGGGCTTTATCAGCGGCACATGTGCAGGTGCCATCCATCATGAGTTGAGATGGACGGGGCTGCATATCAAAATTTCCTGTGTAACGCCGATAGTGATCTAGGACTGAATCTGCTTTCCCTCTCCAGTGATAGCAGGAGTGGTAACTCACTGCCTTGCTGTCAGCGGTTCTGTATCCTTGACTGATCTGGAGAAATAATGGAGAGGTGTGCTATGGGAAGTCTGGTTATGGGGATGCAGCAGAGGTGAATTTTCTGTTGTTCTCTGCTGAATTATGGAAGAACCATACGTTCGGTTAGAGAGATGCTGCTGAGCTGTTTAATGCTGGTTTAATACTTGTTCACAGGCTGGGAGGAAAACTTGTATTCAGGGATCAGAGGATCAAGAGCCAAAGCTGAGCCTGTGACGCTGCGGGAAGCTTCATGCGGTGCTGCGAGCGGGTAGTGAATCGTGCTGTCCCGTCCCTGGGACCAATACCACAAACGCCTGCCTTCTGAGTAGGGTTTCTTGGGTTTGTTATTGAGGAAGATGATGGCTCCTGGGCCAGCAGAGCTGCAGCAGAGCCAGGGCTTGTTGTCTTGCACAGAGGCAGTTCCTGATCAACTGACCAGAGCCACCAATTAGCTAATTGCCCTGGTATGATGAGTTGGCAGCTGGTGGTGTCTTGCAGCCACTGCTGCCAAGTCTGGATCTGCAGTATTAACTCTGCAAGAGAAGTAACCTGTTCTGCTCTCCTGACAGCATTACTGTGTACTTAATTAACCTGATCTGTCATATCTCTATCAAAAGAGGCCACTTCCCTGCTTGTTCCCCTCCTCTCAGGTTATTCGTGGACCATGGCCTGGAAGGTCCTTTCAGTGCTGCCTTCTCCGGTAGGAGTGCCTGCTAAGCTGGTAGGATTTCTGCTGCCTTTGCTGCTCATCAGTGCTTCACTCTAAGGGAATGGCTTTGCCTTTAGCTGTGGCACAGAAGTGGTTAAGCTGAAGCTATTAAGGATGCGTAATTCTGCAGAGCTGAGGCACAGGCCCTAGAGTCTAGGTGACTGGCCCATGTTGCCTCTGTTGGTGTGACATTCCTAGCTCCTGCTCGGTGCTGGCAGCATGGTGAGAGGAGAGGGTTTTCCTGGGGCTGCTAAAAGCAGCTTCTGCTTTGCTGCACAGATGATGCTCAGGTGCTTATATGTACCAGGGCAAGACTCTGTGAACATGTTCGTACAGACTGATGGGCATCTTGTCACTGTGTTTGACAGACCTTGTCCCACCTAAAATGGCAGGGCTTGTATCTGTGAAAGGGTAGAGGTGCTGCTTGTTGGAAAGTGGCATTTGAAAATGCAATGCTATTTTTTGGTTTTGTGGGATTTTTTATTCTGCTGACCCAAACCAACCTTTTTAGGTAGCCAAGAAAAATCCCACTTGGAGAGTGGCTAGAAGAATAAAAGATGTCTTTTTCCAGACTTTCTCCCCAGACCTGCCAGCACAGTTAATTGCTTTATACTTTCTCTTCTCCAGTCTCTTCTGGCTGAATCGTCCCTTCTCTTTCACATGTTCCCTTTCTCTCCCCTGCATCCACCCGCTCCCTGGCAGCCTGGTTCTTCCAG